GTTTCATGGGAAAGTGATCCCTTTTCCAATTGTTTATTTTCAAATGTTGGCAGGACACATGTGCATAAGTATGTGGTTTTTAGAGAACTGAAGCTGTGGGGTTAGAGGTGTCTTTTGGAGTGTGTTACATGTAGCTCATTGTAACAGCAAGAACACCACTTTTGTGGCAGAAAAGAACAGTGTTCTTGAACTTTAAAGTAGCCATTGTTGATGCGGAAGAAGGAGAAAAGGAGTCAGAGTCTAGACTAACACTTTGCTAGGCTTTGTGAGAGACAAAGGAACTCACAGAAGTCAAAGGGTACATGAAGTGGTCAGTACAACCTGTGGGAACAGGAACTTCCTTAGAGTGAAACGTGGAATCTTAACTGCATCTCTGAGCCTGATGCAGTCGGGTGCTCTTAGAACGTAATTATTAGGTGAAACATAGGATGAAAGCTGTATAACAAGGAGAAAGAGGTGGATGGAAATGAGAGAAGAATATCTGTGAAGTAAGTCATAGAACTTGTTTGTAAAGGAAGAAGAATGTGAAGGGGGAAGAGAAAGGTATATGGGACTTAGTGGAAAAGGACGGTTAAAGGGACCTGGATATGTTTAAAGGCAAAAGTGAAGAAATAGGATGATGACCAGAATATTTTAAATAGGAAATCAAGTCTTTACCAACAAGGAGGTCCAGTTTCATATAAAGAAACATGGGCTTTAGAGGGCTAAGCCAGCTGGAGAGATGGCACATCACTTAAGAGCACTGGCTGCTCTTGCAGAATACCCATGTTCAGTTCCCAGCACCCACTTGGTGGCTCACAGTCATCAGTAACTCCAGTTCCAGGGCATCCAGCACTCTCTTCTGGCCTTTGCCAGCAATGTAGTGCACTTTTACATACATGTAGGCAAAACACTTATATACATTTTAAAAAGGGCCAGGTGTTGTAGTGGTTGTACGCCTTTAATCCCAGCACTCTGGAGACAGAGGGAAGTGGGTCTTTGTGAGATTGAGGCCAGCCTGGTCTATGGTCTACATAGTAAGTTCCAGGACAGAAGTCCTTGTCTCAAAAAAAAAAAAAAAAAAAAACCTAGTAGAGGGTAAGCCTGCTATATATCATATCTAAGGACTTTCTCAGAGAAAACCCTTAAACTCTTCTTCCAGGGACCCAAAGGCCCCCTTGTTCTCATTCCTGTGATTAGCTCCCCTCTGTTTCTGACATGGTTTCTCACTGCTTTGATTTTCCTATTTCAAACTGGAACACTGTCTTTCCCTATTCCATGCCTGTCTCCAACTCCGTTCCTTCCTGTTTTATTTTTCTTAGAATTTACTCTAACATACCCTTAACTTGTTTGGTTTTTTGTCTTCCTCTTACTAGAATTAAAATCCACCAGTGCAGAGATTTTCCTAGCACAGCTGTCCCTCAGTATCAACTGGGGATTGGTTCCAGGAACTTCACAGATACAAAAATCTGTGGGTGCTCAGATCCTTTATATAAAATGGTGTAGCATTTTTATTTAACCTGAACGTATCTTCCCCACATTAAACCACCTGAACATTTCTTACAATGATGACTACAATGTTTGCGCTATGTAAATAGTAGTTGTACTAAACATCTAGGGAGTGATAAGAAATGCCTGAACATAGTACAGACCTAGTCCGACCCCCACCTGACATTTTTGATTCATGATGGGTTGAAACCGTGGATGCAGAACTTATGTATATCCCTGACTACTAGAAAAATGCCTGACACATAATAAGCATTTGCTAAGTGCTGTAACAGTGAAAGAATGAATTTAATATTCTTTGTGGAAACTAGTAGAATATTCATCATCATTAACATCCTGATTAATAAGCATATTGAATGCTATTTACAGGCTCCATGTATTCTCTACTGAGGGGTTGGCAAACTTCTGCAAAGTTCTAGAGACTGACTTATTTTTGTGGGCCATGCGGCCTCAAGGCACACGCTCCCGCTGTGGTAGTACACAGGCAGCCATGGCCATGACCAAGCATGGCACTGCTCCAACTGGACTATTTATGGACATGGAAATTTGAGCTTTTATAATTTCCAAATTTAAGTTTTCAACCACTTACAAATGTAGAAATCATTCATAGTTCACAGGCCACACAAAAACAGGCAGTGGGCCAAATTAGACCCAAAAGCTATGCTTTGCTCCTCTCTTGTCTTTCTGGTTGTGAGCCTGAGCCTTTAGTGCCTACGCTAGCACTATACCAACAATAGCACTAGTGCCATACCGACTTTGTCCCTCTCTAATATTACTGGCTTCTTAAACATGACTTAGTTGAAGCTTATTTTCCATACTTGGTAAGGAACAACAATGTGGATTAAATCCTAGAAACAGACAATTCAGAAATACTTCTTTGAGTGCCAGAAACTTTCATGTTGTCCCATTTTTGTTTTGCTGGGAACCTTGTGTTTTCATTGTGTGTTTATGATGCTGACATTTAAATGAGTTTGCATTCTCTTAGCTGATGCCACATGGCTGTGCTGGGGGTGGGGTAACAATTTAGGAGCAAAGCTGGGCAGAGCCCACCCAGGTTTCGCAGTCCTCCATTATTTACAAGGTGCATAGTTCCCACCCGGGAGGCTCAGCCAGGCCTGATTCCCAGAGGACTGCTGCTGCGAGTGGGAATTGGCTTGTAGTTTCTTAACATCATCCATAACAGATTGAATAAGCTGCAAGTGCTTTTCATAATCCAACCTAGGGTTGATTTTAGCTCTGCCATGTTGGTGCTCTGTGTGCCTCTACTTAAGAAAAAACAAATAAACCCAACAAAGCTCCACATTCTGTTGTCACATCAAGCTGGGGTTTGGATAAGGCATCATATTTTCCTTAGCACACAGAAATGTTTTTCATTTACAAAACTTTTAATACTCATAAGAGTTTTGTTTTTACATACTTGAGTTTGTTTGGTTCTCACAACAATCCCATGATGGAAGTGGCCTTCTCAACCATCAAAGATGTCAGTGAGGATAAGCAGTCTGCCCAAGGTCACAGCACCTGGACTATTTATTTATTTGTGTGTGTGTGTGTGTGTGTGTGTGTGTGTGTGTGTCTGTATCTGTCTGTGTGGCTATGTGCACGTTGAGTGCAGGGAAGCCAGAGGCCCCCATCCTCTGGAAGTTACAGGCCATTGTGAGCCACCCCATGTGGATACTGGGAACCAAACTCAAGTCCTTTGCAAGAGCACTACAGGCTCATAACAGCCGAGCCATCTCTCCTGCCCTGACACCTGGACTCTTGACAAGACCTGCCTTTCTGAGGTGCAGTCAGGGTCATCTTCAGCCATTGGTTTCAGCACTGTGAACTCTGCTCACTGCTGTCTCTAGCATGACCTATTGATGGAGAAGCTTGAGAGTCCCGTGCTCCTTCTCTGCAAACTTATCATGCACAGTTCTGGGAAGAGGTGAGGAGGCTGTGACTGGTTACATCACTACACTGTCCCTGTTTACCAGCTGTTTTCTCCACCAGCCATTTTGGCTACTGCACAATTCTTCTGAGCATGCTCTTTTAATTTCCTAATAACTTGCCTTCCTTATTTTCTTAAAAACCCTGAACGCTAAGACCTCATCTCATCCAATAATGGCTAATGAAATGTCTTGTATATGGTTGGCAAAACAGGAAGGAATTCAGCATGACTCCAGTGTTTCACGTGGGGGCCACTAGGGAAATCAGGACACCAGACAGTAGGCATAAGTAGACATGTCAGGAGCTGTTTTGAGGATAAAGACTTAGAATTTGGTTTGAAGGTGTTTTCTCTGAGATAATAGTGAAACAGGCTTTCAGATCATTTTTATATCCTGCAAAAAGTAAAATGAACAAAGAGGTTGAACCAGATATCTGCGGCTCTAGCCAAACAGCAAAATTTATAGTTAAAATCAAAGCCTTTTGTTCCTTTTAAATAGTTCTTTGTGGTCCCGATTAAACAGCTTCTCCACTATGAAAGTAAGACTTCCCATGCTTTTCTGATGCTCTTTAGAGAAAGTTGTAAGCATTAAACACAGTTTGGGGTGTTGCATGACTTACAAAGTAAGAGATGGCATATAAAGTGATTTCTCGGTACTTTGATATGGCAAATATGGGGAAATTATTATTATTATTATTATTTTTGGTGGCATGATCTCATGTAGCCCAGGCTGGCCTTGGACTCACTATGTAGCCTAGGATGACCTTGAACTCCTGATCTGCCTCCACCTTCCCAAGTACTGGGATCATAGATGGGTGCCTTCCTGCCCAGCTGGAATGTTATTCTTGAATTATTTCCCACCTATACTTGGGTGTTTGTGTGGTACCTTAGGTATCTTATGTTCTCTTGGCTATATTTTGAGTCTTTTGTTTGCTTAAAGTAGCTACCACTTACATTTGAACAGATTTTAAAGGTTTTAAAATGCCTCTTGGAACTCTCCCCATCCCTGTCTCCTTCCCCATCTTTGTCTCAGTCTCAAGAACCTGAATGTAACCCAGAGAGCCATGCGAAGAACTCCAATTGTTTTGTTGGAGAGAGAGAGAGAGAGAGAGAGAGAGAAACTTTCAGCTTAATACTCAGTTGAGAAAAGGCACATGATGGCATATATATTTTAAACAGAAATGATAAGAGTGAATGTATATGTTAATCATGGGAACATCTTAATCCTATCAAATGGCTCAGCCAGAATGAGAAAGTTAATGGATTTGAAGACACCTATCAGCATTGCTCTGTAGAATGAGTATTCTAGCCTGTACTGTTCCTATGTAAAGAATATGGTATATTTTGCCTTTGAGTAATGGTCATGCTGGCTACTCACCTAATGTTCTGTTGCCTGCCAAGACCCAAGAGGACCTGGGGAGATATGGTACCCCTTCTCCGACATTTGGGGACTTTGCATGGTACCTTCAGGGACCCTCATTCAGTCTTGAATGTTTTCTTGAATGGACTGCATCATTTTTTGGTAAGTCTTCAGACTCACAAGAAGTTGGGTGTTTTTCATAAACTTCCTCTTAATCTTTTTTCTGTGCAGATGTCCAGAAGGTTTCTTGGGAGAATATTGTCAGCATCGAGACCCCTGTGAGAAGAACCGCTGTCAGAATGGTGGTACTTGTGTGACCCAGGCCATGTTGGGGAAAGCCACCTGCCGATGTGCTCCAGGGTTCACAGGAGAGGACTGCCAGTACCCCACCTCCCACCCCTGCTTTGTGTCTCGCCCCTGCCTGAATGGAGGCACTTGCCACATGCGCAGCCGGGACACCTATGAGTGCACCTGCCAGATCGGCTTTACAGGTACCACACATGGCTGGAGCCCGTGCTTTCCCATTCTTAGCAGGCATCTTCATGAGAACATGTTAGCTCTTCAAACCTGACTCCTCAGGGTCCCCCAACTCCAGTGTACTGGAATATGGGGATGGGCTCAAGGAGACATTTTAAAACCTGTTACAGAGAAAGTTTTAGCTATTTTAAACAAATAAAAGACATAAAATATAATTAAGAGAACATAAAGTATGTGAGATACCTTATAAAACCCAAAGTATAGTAAGGAAATGATTCAAGAATAATATTCTGTAACATTTTCACACTAGAGCATTAATCTTTTTATATGCCACCTCTTAATTCCCAAGATGTACCAGCAGCCTATCCTTAACTTTCTTGAGAATTTTAAGGGACAGAAGAGGAGAAAGGAATACAGACATTCACGGGATTGGCTTTTCTGGTTTTCTGAATCCTTCTTATTTATTTTTTTCCTCAACGGCTTGTCCTTCTTCAATAAGTCTCTGTGATCCAGCACACAGGTACTGGCTCTTGCTGAGGGCTCAGCGGTTGTGATCTGCAGCAACTACTGACGGCTCTCAGTTACCCCTTCAACGTCACGCCACCTGACTCCCCAGGCCCATGCTTCTAACTACACACTGCATGCCCTCTTTAGACATTCCCTGGGCACCTCAAGCTTAGTGGGCTGATAGGAACAAGCACCACAAATGTGCATACCAAATGCCCAAACTAGAAGCTTCTCTCCCTTGTCCTTACCTTGCTGAAGGTCAGCTCCGCCCACCTCTGCACCCCCCCCTTCCTCTGCATTGGCGTCTCACTGGACTCTTAAAAGGTGTTTAACTTATTTTCTTACCTCTACTCTCTCTATTTCTCCTCCTATATTGTTGTACTTTAGTTAAAAATGCACATCGGCTACTGAACTCACCTGCTTAGAGTCTCATGACTTGTCACATCCTGTGGTCTAAGCTACAGACTCTGTCGTCACAGTCTAACGTATCTTTACAGAGCCCCACTCACCCACAAGCATCTAGTCCAGTCACACCAAAATTCTCATTGTTTCCATGAAGTTTCTTCTCCCTTCTTTTGGAATGTTGTTTTCTGTATTTGGTGATTGCCAGTACTTTTTAAAATTGTGTCTTAGTGACCTTTGTATGATTTCTTCAGACAGTTGTTGCTGCATTGTTCATTTTTATGTCATACTATATTCTAATTAATTTTTCCCCATATTTTTCACCTGAATAGATTATAGGCTCTTCAGAGATAGATCTGAGCTTTATCCAAAATGAACCATTGGTATATATTAGATGAAAAACTAGGTGTGGTGGTCCATGCTTGTTATCCCAGTACTTGGGAGGCAGAGGCAAGAGGATTGTCATAAATTTGAGGTCAACCTAGTCGACATTGTGAGTCAACCTTGTGAATTCTAGGCTAGCGAGGGGCTACTAGTAAGACCCTAACTTCAACACACGCACACACACATGCACACATGCACATGCATGGTAAGGAAAGGTAACTATTTGCCATTTGGCCTCAAGCTGTAAACCAATAGTTCAATAAATCAGCAAGCCAAAAATGAAAAAAAAATGTGCTCAGAAAATTAAACTGGGTCTGTTGTGTTTAAAGAAAAAGGTTGTGTTGACTTGTTTCTGTCACCTAAGAGGTCAGATTAATAACTATATAGTGTGAAAAATACGTGTGTTTTATTCATTCAATAGGCATGACTTGAGAGCCCACCATGGGGACCTAGCGTTGTTGCTATGGCATGTCATAACAGAAGGAGACAACACGTGGGGGTGGGCATTAAGGATGATTTAATAGAGGTGGTGACTGTGGAAGAGAGTTGTCAAGATAAGGAGAGTTCACTAGGTAAATGAAAAGGAAGCTGGCATTCCAAACTGTGGAGCAACTTCGACGAGGACAGGGAGGTGTGAGAGCAGGTGGATCCAGACCCTGTTTCTTGGGACCAATGGAGTCTTCTGGGGCTGGCTTCCCTTTGTGTGCCCTATCCACCACTCTCTGAGTCTCACCCAAGGGCCTCAAAGAACTTCTGAAAAGCACCTAGTGTCTGATGATCTTGAGGAGGCACTGATCTGTCCTTCCATAAAATCAAAAGCCCAGGGATCTGCATGCAAGAGCACCTGCTCTCACTTGGGTGGGAGAGGAGCACTGAGGTGTGGGGCTGGCCCCTGCTTCCATGAGCAGTACTGAGTTTTCTTCTCATTCCTTTAGGGAAGCTGTGCCAGTGGACAGATGCCTGCCTGTCTCATCCTTGTGCAAATGGAAGTACCTGCACCACGGTGGCCAACCAGTTCTCCTGCAGATGTCCCGTGGGTTTCACAGGGCAAAAGTGTGATACTGACATCAATGAGTGTGACATGCCAGGACGCTGCCAGCATGGTGGCACCTGCCTCAACCTTCCCGGTTCTTACCAGTGTCAGTGTCCCCAGGGCTTCACAGGCCAGCATTGTGACAGCCCCTATGTGCCCTGCGCACCCTCGCCCTGTGTCAATGGAGGCACTTGCCGGCAGACTGGTGACTTCGCTTTTGAGTGCAACTGCCTTCCCGGTAAGGAGCTCCCCAGGGTCTTGGGAATGGAGGCCAAACCTATCTCAGGATGAAGGTGGAAGGTGTGTGTGACTGAGTCCATCCTTTAGGAAGTCCTAAAAGGAGGGAAAAGGGGAAGTGAGCGCTTTGTGTGGGGTGAGTTACTGATGAGGGAGGGATTTTATGGGCTCACTGTGGTCCATAAATAGAGTTGGGGCTAATTTAACATGTCAGAGTTTATGATGATGAGTGCTTAGGAAATTGTTTATTGTCCCTTTTGGAGAAGCAGTGAGAAGAAATGGGAGAAACAGCTCTGGGAAAGGGACAGGCAGACCTGGAGTAGAGAACACTGTGAGAACTAGACACTGGGAAGTATGTGTGTGCCATCAGTATAGTGCTTTATGCCCAAGTGACACTAAGACTGGTGGATGAGCCCTCCTGTTTGCTTCTGCCCTGGGCAGAGCAGTCCCTTATTTTCCCATGGGTTGCTGGCCTTCTGAGCCTCTTCTATCCCCTCCCTGACTTAAGGTGGGGAAGCTGGAGAATTTTAAAAGTAGGAGGAAGGTGGACATTTGGATGAGCTCTGATTGACAGCGTGCAAGAGTCTAAGCATGATACAGTCTTTTGTCATGTTCTTGAATGGTCAAGGCCCCTAAGCACACACACAGCCCAGAACTGAAGCACAGAGGGGCGGCATTGGGAGCCCAGCGCCTGGTGTTCCTTAGAGGGAGAAAGAGCAAGCCTGGCCAGTTCACTTCACTCCTTATAAAAGTGATGAGGAGGCTGAAAACCAAGAATTTTGATTGGGAACAGAACATAAGCAGCTGGAGCAGATGAATTACTAAGCAACAAAGATCCTGTTTTTATACAAATACCCTTAGTATAAAAACAAAAGAAAGAAAACTGTGTGTGTGGTGTGTGTGTGTGTGGGTGCGTGTGTGTGTGTGTGTGTGTGTGTGTGTGTGTGTGTGAGAGAGAGAGAGAGAGAGAGAGAGAGAGAGAGAGAGAGAGAGGTGCTAAATAAGCAGAATGCTTCAGAGAGAAGTTGTTCAGCCACCCTCAGAGTAGGAATCTTAGATTCTGGTGTGGAGACGATGCCTCATGTAAGGGGCTTGTGCGCTCTGTCTTTTGGGGATCAGACATCATAGGTCGGTTCTTGGTATAAAACCAAATGGTAATTTATTTATTTCATTTGGTAAAAATTCACTGACTGTCAGCTGTGTTCCAGGTACTGTACATGCCTGTGATACAGTGACATAAGACGCTGTCAGTAATCTAAATGGAAGCTAATTACTCAAACAAGGCACAGAGTATGCTATTTAATTGGATTGCTTTAGTTTCTCTTTCAATAAAGAATAGGTAATGCTGTCATAGATACTAAATCATGTTTAACTAGTACTACCACCCACATTATCTTTAGAAGGAATAGCCAAGATCCCCTTTGTTCTTGCATTTGTTTGTATTTCAAGAGCTAAAAATGGAAGTAGAAATATAAACAGCTTAGTTTTGTAAATATTTCAATATTACAAACATTCTAATAGTCCAATATTGTCAGGGCCTAAGTGGCTAGTAATTGAAATTAGTGTGATTTATGACTGAGGGCTATATGACATTTTCAGTTTCAAGAAAACTACTTTTAATAGTTGTCTAGAACAGACAGTTGATTTGACAGCAAGATATTGACAGGAAGTTAGAGAAGTCAATAAAGGAAGTCCTTAGCTAGGAGAGAGTGATTATTCCCCCCATTGTTCTGCATTGTTATCCATTAGGCCCTGATAAGGTCCTCAGAGAATTCTGAGATGTCCAGGAAAGGATCTGTCAAACAAGAATAGTGTCTGCTCCTTGAGAAAGGAAATAACCAGGGATTCCACTGTCAAGGGCTGCCAGGGCCCTCAAGGGAGGATGGAGGCTTGGCTGAGCTTCATGCTGCACTTATCCTGTAAAGTGAGACACTTAGTTACTCACTATTCTCTGTGTGTGTGGGGGGGGGCTTGGTATGTGTGTGGCTTGGTATGTGTGGAGTGTGTATGTGTGTGTATTGGGGAGGGGATGGGGTGCAAACAGGGAGAAGATTTTTTGAAGAAAAAAAAACCCTAATATTTATCTAATATTTTCATGAGTTAGTATTGCCAGATACATTCCTGATAGGTTGACACATACCTAGGGGGTTGGTATTATTTTCTGAGTTTTCTCTGATGGAGTAACTGAAGTTTGGCATGTTAAGTCGTTTACCAGCTGATTCTGGAGAGGCTGGGCACTGAAATCCAGGTGGGTTATTTCTGGAGCTGGAGCTCTATGCATCTTACAGCATCGCACTGTATGCTCATCGGTTTCCTGAGGTGCTTTGAAGTGTTCGGCTTTTCGTTAAATGCTTTGAGCTGTTTCTGTTAAAAATATATTCACTTTATGAGATAAACAAGAAACTACTAATTATAACCAAATACTATTTGTTGCATATCAAGCTAGTATATAGTATTGTGCAAAAAGGTGAACATAGTTAAGTAGACTAGTTCTTGTCTTTCAGGATCCTGAGGCCTTGTTTTAGATCTCGATTTGAATGAGTAGCTTGGATACTATACATGGAAATTCAAAAAAATTTAAAGCAATAGGTGGTATAGTTACACTGTAGAGAAATATTCCACAGTGTGTGCGATTTCATGCTTTCTCTGTCCCAGGCGAGGTTTGGAAAGCATTCCCTGGAGTTTCACACAGGGAAAGAATACAAGGAGGTGGTTTTCTTCCACAAAATCTTTTCTTATCTGGCAACCTTCTTGCCCTCTCATCACTCTGTACAAGAGATTGAGAAGAATAGTCACCATCTCCACATGAATAGCAACCTTAATCGAAGAGAATTATTATTTCAGTTGTCAAAATGAGGAAACAAGTCAGCAGGCGACTAAGCAGCTTCTCAAGGTATCTGGCGAATCCTAAATGGCTGCTTCCCACCACATTGGGAGTCTTTGCACCTCTAGTTGAGGCCTGGCCTGACCACTCTATTTAAAATTGTAGTCGTCTCTGCCAGGACCCTTAATGACTGACCCTGGCCTGCGTTTGTTTTCCTTTTCTGTGACACTTAGATTCTTACTATATAATTTGTACTGTATAATTTCCTTCATTGTGCCTATTGTTTATTGTCTGTCTTTTCCAAATTCTACTGCCTCTTCTCCCCAGAGTGAGAGCTAGGATCTTTGTTTTTGTTTACTAATCCCTGTCCCAAACACCTAAAAACAGGGTCCATATTGAATAGGCCCACGGACATTTCTTGACCGACTGACTTGGAGTGCAGAATCACTTATGGCGGGGGTAACTGGTCTTCTTGCTTGTGTCTGGGTATCACAGATGTGCTTGGCTGCTGCTTCTATCCATGTACTCTCTAATACTATCCAGTTTGGAGTGGCTTTCAACTCTGACAGTTGGAGACCAGCACATACATTAGTGATTATATTTAAATGGTTAAGGTGAAATTTTTTTTTCCTGTAGAGAGGATTGGAGCGACTGTGAGTTGATTTTAATATTGTAGGACCCACGGAGAAGGAATTCATACTGCAAAAATTATTTATCTTGGACTGGAGCTATGGCTCAGTGGTTAAGAGTACTGACTGCTCTTGCAGAGCACCCAGGTTCGATTCCCAGCACCCAGATGGTAGCTAACAACCATCTGTAACTCCAGTTCCAGGGGATCCAACACCCTCTTCCAACCTCCATGGGCATTGTACAACATTGGTGCACTTACACACATGCAGGCGATACACTCATTACACATTAAAAAATAATGAATAAAATATTTTTAAAAATTATTTATCTTGTGTGACGTAGAAAGAAATGTTTATTCAGAGGAAAGGCAAAGAGTGTTGGGAAGCAGCAGAATGGAAATCAGATTCCAACTTCTTTTTGGATCAGCAGCTGTCAGTAACCCAGACCCTTTGTGAGCTTCCATCACAGACCTGTTCCCAGCAGAAGCCCTGAGCAGAGCTCCCAGCTGCAGCGATTTGAACGTGAGAGTAAAATCCAGCACGGAATACATAACGGGATCCCAGGACTTCAGGCCAGGCCAGGCAGTAGAGAGAGCAAGTTGGGTGATTCTGTGTGTGTGACTGTTTTAATAAATAGCACATGCGATCAGAACACTGTGGGCTCCTCTGGCGTGGCTGCCCTTGTGAGTTCACAGTTGGACCAGACAGTTTTCCATGGGTTTCCTCTTTTTCTTTCTCTCCCACATCTCTTTATTCTGTGATTGCTGTCAATGAAGGCTCATCCTGTATCATGCTCTGGACCCTTCACAGGCTGATTATATGTCACATCTCTGACCTTAAAGCTTGTACACAGCCTTTGGCTTTTCTATCTGTTATGTTGCTGAGCTTAAGAACAGTTAGCAGTCAACCCCCCCCCTCCCCAGTCCTTTGACACTCCAGAGCACATGATGTTCTCTTGCATTTTGTACTGATATTTTGGTAGGTTTGATTTTATGATAGACTTCTCTCCAAAAAAAAAAAAAAAAAAAAAAAAAGAAGTTTTAAAGCATCACTTCTTTTTTTGCTCTCATACAGTTCCACATCCCTGGCTTTTCCTTCAGTCCTGTTCCCGGAAGCTTTTCCCAAGGACTTTGAGTCTGGCCTGAGCTGCCATCTCAGGTCCCCCTTTCCCTTTCCTCCTGCTGCTCTCCACCCTCCCACAGCCAGGGCCTGAAAATAGAAAGATGTGATGCTCCCGAGAGAGATTGTGCTGTGCGTGGGAGGATGAGCTCAAAAGACTTTCTACCCCTCCCTCATTGCTGATGTTAATCACCGAAGTGGCCCAAGTTCTGTAAAGGCAGTCTTAAGATGCTCCTTCTAAGCTTAATTTCTCTCCATTTGGCCTTTTAAGGATGCAAGTTGGCTTTCAGCAGTAGACTCCTTTTAGTGTGGCCATGGGAACACTTCTGAGATGACAACACCCATCCACCCACTCATAGGTCTGAGGATTGGGTTACCCCTTCCCCTAAAAATTTACACTTTTTAAGAAATGACTGTATTGTAACTTACTCTTATTGACCCCCCTCTCCCCACCTTTAGATAGATAGTTTCTTATAAGAATTTGCTAGCTCTTTCCAAAAAGAGCTCTATATCTCTTTTTTTTATTTGTTTTTGCACCTCTATTTTTAAAGCATAAATTGTATCTTAACTTTGGGGAGAAATGATTGGGCTTAGGTTTTCTAAGACATGGGAACTCTTGACCCAAGGTCAGTTTTTTGGGTTGTTGAAAGGGGACTTTTGGGATCTCATAAAACATGGTGAGTAACATGGGTGGCACTCTCATTCCCTACAGATGCCAACTTACTAGCCATGCAGTCCTGGCCTAGTGAGCCCAACCTAGTGGCCCTCAGCTTCCACATCTGTAATGTAATAGGATTAAAGGAGCTGATCTCTAGTGGATGCTCTAATCCCCCTGATGCAAAATAATATTAGCTCATATGTTTTTAGAGCCTTCCCCTAGAATAACAAGCTTATTGAGATATAATTTACACACCATACAATTTCTTCCTGTACAATTCAATGGCTTTTGGTAACTTCATACATACTGTGTGTAACTGTCTCCAGTCAGTTTTGCGGTATTCTCTTGCTCCAGAAGAAGCCAATGTCCACTCTTCATTGCTACCCATTTCTCCTAACTCCCTCCAGTGCTTGGTAGCTACTAATGGATTGTTTGCTTCTTGTGGACATTCCGTGTAAATGGAAGCATACAATATGTAGAGGTTGTAGGTGGCTCTTTCCACTTAGCATTATTTTAGTGTTCGCTCCTGTGGTAGAGTACATCAGCATGTCTTTCCTTTTCTTTCTGAATAATACTTTTTTTGCATAGTTTTGCCACATTTTGTTTATCAGTTGATTTTTTGGCTATCATGAGTAGTTCTGCTGTGAACATACTTGTACACATTTTGTGGGGCTGTATGTTTTTTCTTTTCTTGGGTATATACCTAAGGATGGAATTGCTACATCATTTGCTAACTCTAAACTTTCAGGAACTGCTAGATTCAGACTGTATTACAAAGCAGTTGCACTATTTTACATGCTGACTAGCAGCGGATGAGGGTTCTGATTTCCACATCCTTGTCAACACTTGTCAGTGCCTGTCTTTTTTTTATTACAGCAGTCCTAATGGAAATGAGGCTGGGTACCTCTTGTTTTAATTTGCATTCCCCCCAATGGCTTACACTGATGAAAAGCCTTCCTAGTACCTAGTGTTTATGGGTGTGTTTGGGGAATGCCTACTTAGATCCTTATCATTTTGTGATGGGGTTATTTGTATCTTTTATTAGGCTATGTAAGTTTAAAAAAATCGTAGCTACAAGTCTTCTAGTGTATGTATGATTTGCAAATATTTTCTCCCATTCTGTAGGTTGTCTTTTCACTTTCTTGATGCCCAAATGTTTTACTGTGATGAAATCCATTTTTCTTTTATTGCTTGTGCTTTTGGCATATATAAGTTTTGTCTGGCTCAAGTGATAGAGATTTACTCTTGCATTTTCCTAGTAGATTTATGATTTTAGTGTCTTCATCAGGTCTCTTGTCCATTTTAAATTGATTTCAGCATGTGAGGAGGGTCCAGGTTCACCCTTCCATACATGGACACTTAGTTGTTCTGGTACCATTTGTTAAATTAAGTGTTTTTCACATCCAGCGCATTCACATTTTGAGAGCTGAGTCCTTTTAGTCCCTCCAGGAGGAATGAAAGTTGAAGTACTGTGCTGAGTTGAAGTGGGCAGGTCCCCTCAGTTACTGCGCCGTGAGGCTGAGAGCTGGGTCAATGCAGTCTGGCCTCAGAGTTTGTGTTTTTAGCAAACTTGAATTCATCCTACCACCTGTCTTTTCAGTTTTTTAACTATTGATGAGGAAGATCTACCTAGAAAACAAATCAGCTATGAAAAATAGTTTCTTGTATGCTGTGGTCTTGTTGGAATTCTGTGGCTTTCATTTGCACAGGGCTGCAACATTCGACTTGTTAATACAAAGTCAGGGTCCCAGTTTCTATTCCTTACAACTTAGGTACGAGGGCTTTGCCACCTGCCTGATACCTTATTCAACCATTGTTTTTAGTCTTAGTCCTGAGATAGGTAAGTCAGGGAGAAGATGACTAGCAGGATTTCTAGAACATCACCAGTCCATAAAAGTTCTGGCTGGTGGGCCAGCCTGCACTCACCATTAAAACCTGACCATGAACTCTAAAGAGTTTCTACATAGAACACTGAACAGGAAGATGGACCTGAACATTTATTCAGCAACTGCTTCAAAGCAGAAACGTGGTTCAGACATCCCTTAGTTGTAATTAAACAATTCAGTTGGTCCGTTTGTAAGACTTTCATGTGATTAGACAGAAATATGAATAAATTCATCATTTTTTCAATCTGTGCTTCCACAGTCTTTCCCAGGCTTACTCTTATTTCTGTTTTATATAAACTAATTTCTGGCTAGTATTTTTGGCTACCTGATTTAAAGCCGTTTACACAGTTGCCGCTGTATTCAGAGGAACCTGCCATGTTCCATCATAGCAAAACGAGTGTAGAGTTCACAAGAGCTTATGGTAAGGAATGAATACAGCAGGGTGTGATGAAGTTTGCTCCCCAAGCTGTCTGGGCAGCAAGCAGGGACTCTGCCTCTCACTTTGTGATCCCCAAGTGCCTAGTATAAGACACAGTAATTGTTTTTAGTGAGATATTTTGAGGTGTCCCAATGTCCAATCACATTGTATTTCAAATGGAGTGTTCACTGGCACTCTTTTTTGTCTTAAAGCTGACAGACTTTTATTTATTAGTTCAGAGATTTGGTAATTTGAGAAAGGAAAGAAACTATATAAGTCACAGACAGCCACCTTGCAGGCAGTTAGAGTAAGGTTTGGTGTTCTAGATTTGTTTTTCAAAAGGGGAAAAATCTAGAAAAAAGAAGTAAGGCTGTAAATGTAGGCTTCAGATAGAGAGGAAGGGGAGATGGCGGATTTGAAGTGCTGACAAGTTGAATTAGTAATAATGCCATCTTTTGAGAGGCTTGCAACATCTGTAGAGGACTTTATTCATGACATGGCACTTAGAACAATTCACAAAGGCAGGCTAGACAGATGGACTCAGCCCATTTTACCGATTTACTGAAGACGATTCAGCGCTTATGGCTCTGTATTCAGCAGCTGGGTGGAGACATTGGGAATTCAGTCCTCACACTTGAGTTCCATGTTTTCCTCCCACCACCCAGTTCTGGAGTCCTGTGTGATTGCTTAAGGAAAGAAGGGCCAGGGTGGGGAGAGTGACTTAACTTATTGTTGTTACAAATGTGTTTTCTCATCTCTTTTATTTATTTTTGAACTAAGTAAAATTTCAGTGTTTATAATATTTTCATTTCTGTTTTTTAGTTAACATGCAAAATAACGGATTTCCATATGGCGCTGTCAGCCATTCTTGAGCGGTCCTCCTCCCCTGCTCCTCCCCAGCGTCCTGCCTTCCCCTCTGCATCTATGTCCTTTTAGCCCCCAGTGTTCCACTTTCATATAAATGACTAATCTCTCCCTTTCGCCCTCTCTACCTCCCTCTGCCTCCCCTTTTCTCCTTCCTTCCCCCCCCCTTTTTTTTTTTTTTTTTGCAGCACTGAGGATTGAACCCAGGGCTTGTGTATTGTAGACAAGCACTCTGTCCCTGAGCTGTATCTACATCTGCAGCACAAGAGATTTAACTTAAACTGTTGTAACGCTTCCAAATGCTTGCGAGGCCACCGTGAAAACAGGAGGCCTAGTAGTAGTACTTCACTTTTCCTGGCTAGCCATGCTTGAGGTGGGGAATGCAGAGTCAGGCTGCTTTCATGCAGTGAGTGCCAGTGGAGCAGCTGCCGGAAGGCTCTGAAGTCGTGAAGGTCTGTCCAGTGACCGTGTCTTGTGGGAGAAAGCTGAGCACTTTGGTATGAGAATTCTCATTTTCTTTTGTTCCTTTCTTCCCAGGTTTTGAAGGGAGCACCTGTGACCGGAATATTGATGACTGTCCTAACCACAAGTGTCAGAATGGAGGGGTTTGTGTGGATGGGGTCAATACTTACAACTGCCGCTGCCCTCCTCAGTGGACAGGTAAGTAGGGGGCGAATCCACCGGGATGGTGTATGGTGTGGCCACAGAGAAGACTGTTAATAGAGTAATCTTGTACAAGTTATCATGGGACTGTTCTGAGACCAGTGTGTGAACCGAGCCAGGATCCCCCTGCTAGGCCTTGGGGTGTAGTGCTCACCCTGCATTCTTTTTTCTGCGTCAGCTCTGAACTCAGAGCTGTGCTAAGTGCTGTGCCAGGTGTGAGAACGCTCCTGGTAGACCCTGAGCTTAACACCTGGGAATAGTGGCACCTGGTCTGGACACAGAGCATACTTAATAAATATTTAAGAGTTAAAAAACCTCTGCCCCATCTCAGCCACAGCCACTGCTAGGGAAGGCTGGGGCGGAGCTCTTGATGGCACCCTTACTGTTATATTAGCCTCCTTCCCATTGCCTTCCTTGTATCCTGCTTCGCACACAAATAAAAACAAAAACACAACACTTTTTTTGCCTCTGCCATCAGAATAGTTTTGCTTAATTTTATAGCCTCTTGGAAGTTTCTTATGTCATCTTAGATTTTTCACTCATTTTTGGAAGGTGAGTGACTTTATGCAGACATTAGGTTCTAATTTCTATATTGATTGCATTTCTTACTGAACAGTCGGGAGCTGATTAAGAAATGAAGAAATGAGCCTTTTTGACAGAAAGTAGTTGATTCCATGCTACAGGAGGGACCACAGCCGAGTGATGGCTGTCTCCCTCAGGAAGTCCACGTGGCAACCGTCCCAACCTGGGTTCTTCAGGGCTCTCAATTGCTCCCCTGAGTCTGTGGCATCTAATTATTTAGAGTACTCCAGTGCTATAGACTATGAATAGAAAAGCTAAAGAGGATTTTCAACTTAAATGGCCTGATTTTCAGGAAGAGCCCAAGATTCTGCTTCTAATCCTCCTGTCCCTTTGATATTTTCCCACTGGTCTGCCTTGGAATTGGACTTCTATAGAATTTCATCTTGATATCCTGATCCTAGGACCTCACTCCTAACACTGTCTATCAGATTTTTCTCTTCTCTAGTTTTACCTTTTCTGTCAAAGATTTTTCAGAAACCATTTTTTTTCCAACTTGAAAATTAGCAGGAAGTTAGTTCCTTGATAAAATAGTTACTGGGTAGATTTAGATTCTTGTCTTTCTGAAGATATGGTGGTATTGGGTGGGATGGATAAAGTCAGGAACTTGGCTTTATTATAGCCTCCCTGTGTGTGTGGGAGAGTGACAAAATGTGGCATTTGGCTACTGATGCTAATGCAGGTATTGTGTGTAATGCATTCTAATTTTATAGCTGGATTCTCCCCCCCACCCCCACCCCGGCCAGGGCACCTGGCTTCTTGTGACAATTAGGGAAGTACTCCAAGTGAAATGGTCTTTTACCCCAGGATGTTCAGTAAGGCTTCCTTGCCTCCAGAATCTTCCCTGGGTGGCTTTGTACTTGTAGAAAGGGCAGCAGGGGTGATGGATACAGTCAAGCACCCCATGGCAATTTTTATTTCTTCTGATGGCCGTCACGCAGTGGCCCTCAGCCTTTGGCTTTCCTCCTTTACTCACACCAATTCTTTAGTGTCCAGTGACAAGGCCATGTCCATCCTTAGGAGGAAGTCTGAGCTCTTTATTGGCTCTTTGGAGGCCATCGTTCCTCATGTCTGTTTGCTTCTCAGGTCTTCTCTGCATGTGCCCGCAGCTCTTCTGACCCTACTGATCCTGCTCACAGTCTGGCCTTCAGCTGCACTGGTCCTTTTCTCCAGCTTTCCCCTCTCTACCCCTCTCTCTGTCTTTCCTTCTGTTTTTACCTACCTCACTCAGAGCAGGTGCTTGCCTCCCAGGAAACCTTCTATGACTTCTGTCCAGGCCAAGTCCCCTGCTCATCAGGTTGCATTTCCCTGTGATAACATGCTCACATTTACAGGATGCTGTTATATGCTTGATGTGGTGGAGAAATGGAGTTGCAGGGTGGTCATCCCTGGATGACAACAGTAACTAACACTCAACAGAAGATTGTAGGTGTGCCTTTTCCTGTCCAGCATCTTCCAGTTCTGAGAAAAATACACAAGTAGTTTTGTGTTAGAAGATTCCTATTTCTGTTATTAGCATTTCAGGTTCTGTTTTGCATAAATTACAGAGGTGAGTAGAGCTTGGGTACAGGAGTTAGCTGTTAAAGTGTCTTAACAGCGTGCTAATTGTAGTGTTTTATTTTCTATAATATTTGTGAAAACTATTAGGAGTATAATTTATTGAATATTCTTTTTCCTAGTTGATGACACATATTTAAAAGGGTTAAATAATTTGCCCATGGCAAATAAATAGGTATTGGGTTGGTGTTTGAATCTAGCTTATTAGAGTTCCAAATCTGTACTCAAATCTCTTGTCTTTTTTTCTGTATCAAATTGGTTCTGTGAGGTGCCTTTTCAGTGTTTAAAGACTTTGGTCTCTTTAACAGGTTGAAAGTTCAATTCCTAATTTCATTATTCTAGAATTTCACTATTTGCTGTTTTTGTTTTCCCTTCTTGGGAATTTTGCTGGTGACTTTGAGGTTAGAAGTTCACATTATGTGAATGGTTTGTATTCAGTCTGGTGATTTTTTTCCCCTGTACCTAAGAGCCTCTTACAACTTTGTTTCTAATTCCCTTTGTAATTTCTAGCTGTAGACTGAGGTATGAACTGTTTGGTTTGGCTTTTGAGAGGAAAGGAAGAGTTGTGCTGGGCCAGTGGGGGAGGAAATAAAGTTTCTAGCCCCCACAAAGAGGAGTGGGTATGAGTATATGGTCGAAAAAACTAGGCATTAATTTTTAATAAATGGAACTTTGGGGGTTTGCCTCATTCCTGGTGAGGAGAGCCCTACGGGTAAGGTTTTGCATTGTCAGTGTACATACATTACAGGCTTGCTCTTTTGTGGTTCTACATTTCAAGATGAACAGAAATATTTCCATCTCTATTCATGGTTGATTTGTGGTAATTAAGTCAGTTTCTTTTTCTCAGGTTCTATTTTCTGTACATGAAATTGATATATTTATTTATTTATTTGAGGGTCTTGGGAGAATCAGTCTGTAGTAGCAGGTTTTTCAGTCTTATTTATTTACTTTTGATTTATTTATTTTTATTTTATTTGTATGAGCATACTGTCTACGTGTATATAAGTGCACCCATGTTGTGCAATGCCCACAGAGGTCAGAAGAGGGTATTGGATTCCCCTGGAACTGGAGTTATAGACCATTGTTAGCTGCCATGTGGGTGTTGGAAAACGAACCCGGGTTCTCTGCAAGAGCAGCCAGTGTTCTTAACCACTGAGCCATCTCTCAAACCCAGTCTTTTGTATTTATTCAGCAATGTTGGCCACTTGTCACATGCTGTCTGCACTGTGGCTGGTCTGAATTCAGGTGTACTGTAATCAGTATAAAATACCTGATTTTGAAGACTTAGTGTGAAAAAGGTAAAATACCCTGTTTAGTAGTGTCTAGATATCGACTAGATTTTGAAATTGTAATGTTTTAGATATATTAAGTTAAACTATGTTAAGGGTTGATTTTACATTTAAGTGGCCCCTGAAAGTTTTAGAAGTACAGCTGTGCCTCTGTCATGTCTCTGTGGGATGGCAGTGCTGGAGACATACAGGTGTCCTGAGCCCAGCTCCGTTGCTCCTGCAGTACAGGCTACCTCCCACTTCTCGGTGGCAGGAAAGTTGTATTGGCCAAGACAAGTTGTATTGGCCTTGTTCTGTGGTAGTCTTCAGGTTATGGATGAGTCTGTGTTGTAGTTCAGTTCAGAGCCTTTAAACACACCAAAAGAATGGTCTTTTACCCCAGGGTGCTCAGTAAGGCCTCCTTGCCACTTTCTGCCAGCCTCCCGAACTAGCCAGCTTATGAACAGATGAAAAAAAGGAATTGGTGCTGCTGGTGGGCTAGCTTGTTTGTAGAAATGTTTATGGAGAAAATCTGAATGATCAGATATTCCTATAGGAAATGAAAGTCCAGCCAAGGATTTGGTGCAGGCTGAGCATAAATGCCTTTATTATATTGCATTTGGCTTCCTGCCATCTTATCAGAGAAGTTCTGCTCTGGCAAATATCCATTTAAGGGGGGAAGAGTTTTAAAAGGCCCCCCAAATTATTAAGGCAGTATAGATTAATGATTTGTCTACATAGATTGTTATTTGAATTTTCTTCTTAAAGGTTCATTTCCTTCAGAATTAAAGTTGACTCTAAGCTCAACTCGCAAATTCCTCTCTGTGGCTGCTTTGGTTTTGAGTTCACTCCTGGGGCAGATGTGATTTATTTTCCTACTCTCATTATTAATCCAAAAATGTAATTTCAGCTTGGGCTTGGAATAGTGCTTTGGGACATTAAGCAGAACTGAACAATGAAAGTTAGGTGGATTCGAGTCAAAGAAAACTGACCAAATCTTCTTCCAGTTCTCCTTTTATAATAAGTGCCATGAGCCTGGAAGAGATGACTGTGGTTCTTGTTGCTCTGGTTTCAGGAAGAACATCCAGCACAAATTCATGAGTGCTGGTGCCAGAGGTGGGCCATGAGGTGCAGAGTCTGGGAATGGAGTCAGTGTGTTGGTGTTTGGCTGTGCTTCAGTCCAGCTTCTGATTGGTGACTAGTTGTCCTCTAGGAGCTCTCTTTGTCTCTGTGTCTGTCTCTGTCTCTCTGTGTGTGCATGTCTCTGTCTCTTTGTGTGTTTTTAAAGACTATATGGATGGAGCTTTTTAGTTAGGAGTGAAAACCAATCATATCTTGGACTGCAGAGGTACTCTAATTTATATTCTCTATGAGCATATCACCAGGGTGCTCACCTGCAGCACCCACATCCTGAAGGTCCAAAAGCTGATTGGAGGCCATGTGGGTGGAAGCAGTGTGAAGGCACAGGCTAGCCCAGGAAGGGTCTTCCTGCCCTGTGTCTGTTGCTCAGTGTCTAATTTTGACTTCACTATAGGCCAGATCCAGTGTAGCTTCCAGATTTTTATGGAATAACTGTAAGAAAGCTCAGTAGCC